GCCAGTGGGGTAGCCCGGGCACTATTCCCAGGCCTGTACCCAGGATTGGCCTAAGGGGGGTTCCAAATCAAAGGTGTGAGGGTGACTGCGAGCGCCAAACGCGCGAAGCGATATTAGGGCGGTCCGGGGGCATGCCCCGTCGGGAAAATTGTGAAATTTAAAAAATGGTGCATTCTGGTGCATTTTAACAGTTTTCTTCTAGAAAACGTTTTTTCATATCATTAATTATCATTAATAATTTATTATTATTATACATGAACTGATAAATATACATTAAAAAGTACATAATAGAGATCTCTATTAATAATCTCTATAGATAATCTCTATTATGTATACTCTTGATAGGTGAATGTAAAATTAAAATTATTTTCAATATTATTTTAAACATATATTTATTATTTTATGATTTTTGATAGCTCGGGAACCCCTGGAACCCCCCCCCCTCTTGGGTACGGGGCTGGTTCCTGCTATTAAAAAATCGGTGAGCTCTTCCTTGTCCTAATAAGGGGGCAGAAAGCAGATTTTCATTGTCAAAAAGCACTTACGCATATATGCGTACAGACGCGCCCATCTCCTCCCTTTCCATTCCCATTCCTATTCGCGCGCTCTCTCTCTTTCTTTATCTCCTTCCATGTATAATTATATAGTAGGGGCCTATGTATATATATGTGTATGTGTTATTAGTATGCGAGCGTTATGTGTTAGCTGGGTGTGTGAACTTTTGAGCTCGCCTAAGTCAAGTGGCATCAAAGGCATCAAAGACTGTGCCATACAATTTATTAGAATTTTGCACAGGGGAGTGATAGTGATCCGCTAGGTACGGCTCTGATTGGCTAATTTTGTCTCTTATTTATTTTATTTTTTATTATTTTTGGCTAATTTTGTTTTATTTTAGAATTATGGATAGGGTTAGGATTAGGATTAGGATTAGGGTTATGGTTAACTGATTTTTATATCCACAACTTATTTCTATATTCACTATCTCTCCTCTGAGACCTACTAAATTTATTATGAAAAACCAAATGCATATATGCGTAAGTGCTTTTTGACAATGAAAACCTTTAGGTATTATTAGCTCTTGATACAATTAGGCCTATATTTCGAGGGGAACGCGCAATGGCCCGTGGCACTCGTAAACTTAGTAACGCACTGCCGCGGAAAGCGATAAAAGGTAAAGCGCCTATAATTCATAGACTATTAATATAATTATATATTATAAATTGTAGGCTCTACTTATATATTTCATAACTATACAATTATACTATAAAAAGATAAAACTGCAGCGTTGTACCGTACCGACTACCGAACCGCGACATCTCGATTGTTCAATGTTCATCATTGATCTCTATAGATCTACTATATAAATGTGAAAATCTGTGTGCGAGTGTGGTTTGCGGCAAGTGAACTCCGCCGCCTCTCGACGGATCGACCCCAAATTTTGGTACCTTGGGGTACTTTGACCCTGGGAGTAATATAGGCTATGTCACGTTTTCGTCCAACGCCACGTTTTGACGCTATGGCGTCAAATGGCGTCAAATGACGTCAGCATGCAGCCGTATCCGAACTAGCTCTAGTACTATAATGTGTTTTTTTTGTTTCCTGTCAATGTTTATGTGCTGATTCCAAAGCCGATGTATGCCAGCTCGTAAGTGTTGAGCATTTTTTTCTAGAGCACAAAATCCAAAATGGCCACCAGAAAATTCACTTTTAAAATAACGGCGATAATATTGTATTTAGACCCCAAGTATGTATGGAATATGTATATAAACTTAGGTATTGCGGACATTTTGATACCAATACCATTACTCTATCTGGTGTAGTTCTTGAGATACGAACTTATGAACTAAAATCGATGGCTGCTATAAGGTTTTTGGCTGCCATTTTTAATTGTTTTTATTGAGCAAAAATGCTCAACCTGTATTAACTGGCATACATCAGATTTGGAACCAGATGGTTTGAATTGTTGAAAAATTGTTAAAACATGTTATATATGTCCCTAAACATAGCCCAGCCTACTCACGTTGGGAATTGGCGCTATCGCGTAAAAAGAAAAACCATGAAAAGTTCATATCTCAAGAACTACACCAGATACAAAAATGGTGTTGGTACCAAAATGTCCGCAATAGCCAAGTTTATATACATGTGCCATACATAATTGGGGTCTAAATTCAATATTGTCGCCGTTATTTAAAAAAAAGTGTATTTTCCGGCGGACATTTTGGATTTTGTGCTCTAGAAAAAAATGCTCAACACTTACGAGCTGGCAGCCTGGCATACATCGGATTTGGAATCAGCACCCGAAAATTGACCAGAAACAGCAAAAACTTACTCTATTATGACCATTCCGCCTAGCCTGGACTATCTGGTTGCCCCTGGCAACGCTGTCCAATCAATATTTCAGCGCCTTGTGCCTGTCTGTATAGGCTTAGATACAAATATCCGGATATTGTTTTAGATATTTAGAAGTTTTCGGAATATTTAGAAAAATCTAGATATTTAGAAAATTTAAAAGATAAAACACAATTTTCTCAAATATTAAGGATTTGTAAGGATAAGTTTGTCCTTTTCTGTCAAGAAAAACCATCCATCGGTGCAAACTGTTTCCAAAATTTTTGGACAATTTTTTTTTGCACAAAATAAATGTTTAAAAGACATTACGTTGAAATAACTGAGATATTTTGAAAAATTTGGGGGAGATTTAGAAAATTTTTTAAGATATTTAGAGATTTTTTGGAGAATTTCCGGAAAGATATTTAGGCAATTTTTCGAGATATTTGTATCTAAGCCTATGCCTGTCGCAGCGTGATCCTCAATAATTCTGTGTCGGTTTCTGTTTCGGTTTTCTGTGTCGTTCATTCCTGCTTTAAGTTCTTCCATAACCAGGTCGTATTCAAAAACCAGGTCCTATTCGAACTACATGCGTTATCTGCAGCATCGTAGCATTCCACGGATGCCCGCAGTACGATCGGTTTCGTGTATCCTCTTTTGCTGGTGTTCGGTATTCCACGGCAACAATTTTGAACGACGCGTGCGTGCAATCAATGAACAATATGGACTGATGGAATCAAAAAATAACACTTTCATTTGCACTGACTGTGCTATATTCTGAAATAACATTGGATACACCCCCATGGGGAAATTTATTCACGCGTTGTAATGTTTCTATTTTTAAAATTGACAAAGTATTTTATGTTTAAGAGGTAACAAATAAAGGAACTACGTACATTATTGTTTTCGAACTTACTTTTAAACTCATATTCATAACATATGCCATGAGACAGTAATAACAATTATAAGGAGAAGCATTCGTGACTGTAATACAATGTAATGATTTATTATTTACTTTTACAATATTATAGTTTCTTAAATTATGGTTTAAACTGATAAAGTATTTGATGTGCAAGTCAGTGCAAGTCATAGCAATTAAACGAACATTCATGACTGCATGTAATATAATGTTTTATTATTTACTTTTACATTTACAATGTTATTAAAGCCCGCCGCACACGCTGTGTTTTGTGCTGCGCCATCGGCCACGCGTGGCTGATGGCGCCGCACAAAACACAGCGTGTGCGCATGCAAACGCATCGATTTCTTGCGTGTGGAAAATATCACACGCGTTTGATATTTTCTTCCACGTGTGGCAGATTGCACAGCGTCTGCGGACTAGTATAGTGGCTGTGTAAAGTTCCACACCGGCTCTATGTAACCGACCAATAGCAGCAGGTCAAGCGAGTCACGTGATATTAACTTGCGGCCCGCGCGGCCGCACCGGTTGGAGCGCGGTTGCGCTGCGGTACACGCACGTACACGCGGGTACACGCAGATACACACACGTACACGCGGGTGCACGCACGTACACGCGGTTACACGCACGTACACGTATATATCGTGTAAGCGTGCAACAGCTAGTCGCGCCGCGAAAGCAATGGTGCGTGCAGCGTATGGTTGGACGTAGGAATCGGATTTGGACGGAATTTACAGGAAACTGTCGGAAATAATAGGTGAAAGAGAGTAGGCCTATAGTAATAGAATTTGGTAGTAAATAGGTCCTAGAATCCTAGATTTCGTATTTAGTCCATGCCGTATTT